TACCAAGATTGGATCTCTAATGGGAATTAACAAGGGTTTTAGACTTGGGTGTATGGGATTGGGAGTGATGGAAGGAAACCATCTAACTGAAAGCGTAATGACTCTCACAATTTTCTATTTGCCAATGGAGTCCCTGAAGAAAGTGGTCTCTCCCATATTAATAGCATTTGGTTGAAAACCCAAAAGTTCTTAAAATCAAGTCCACCTCATTGTTTGTTTTGACAATATCCTTACAATCAGTCCAATGAATGGCCGAATGATTGGAATGCCTAATGAATACCCACTAAAACTTGGAATAGATAAAATCAAAATAAAATGTCTACCATGTTAGATGTACTACAACATCATTCAACTAGGAATAACTACTACACCATGTGTTTGTTTTTGCTTAATTGCACGCTTGTTGGAGAACCTACCAAACCTTCCCCTTCAAGAACATCTTATTGTTTGGCTTGATTTTTTTCTTTGCAAGAGATAATAAGAGAGATGTTAGAAAAAGAGACACCTTAGAATCTTGAACCTTCCCAAAACAACACATTATTAGCCAACCTAAAAATTCAAAGGAAACTAACTCCAATTGAGAAAACAATAGGACTTCAAGCGCCACTTTATGGTCAACCCGCTTTGTGGATCACAAAATCATCCTAAACTATGCAAATAGAAGCTGAGGAAACCGGCTGGCGACTCTCTCGGAGTAGGGGCCCGCCTAGTGAATACGCCACCACACCTAAATGAAACTGACGAATCACCTTCCAAGATAACATGATTACGACTTTGAGAAACAATTACTAATGGCACTCAAATTATAGTATTTTATCGCTCCATGTTTGATACATTCTCGCCTTCTATCAATGTATCTTTAGTATATTTTGCTATATTTTAGGTGAAAATCATAACTATTTGATCAATATACTTATAATAGACCTAACATGTGGTTTAGTGTCATTTTATGCCTTATTGTTATTAATCTATACTTTTTCAAGGTCAAACATAATCTATGATTGATTTGAAAAACTATTAGATCATGTTGGAGCATCAAGAAGGATAAATACTAATCAAGGTGCTTTGTCCCTTAAAAGAAGCCAAACCGTGGGAAAGTCTTCATGAAGTTGTCATGCAAAGCCAAGCGGAGTCCATTGGAGAAATTTCAGGCACAAAATCTCGCGGTGACCTTGTGCTAGTGCCAATCGTCGATGGATTTAACCCATCAAGTAGCACTAAAAAATCATTAGGAGGTTACTTGTGCGCCAAGAAAGCCCGAGCCGAAGGAAATCCCACAACTTTGATTGCATTAATATCACTACATACATGCACATCAATGACTAATAAGGTGTCTCTAGCAACAAGTAACTCCTCAGTGTAGAGATCTAACATCCAAAATGGTGATATCCAACTGCCAGCAGAACATGCATGTCCGCCCCACGAACCACGAGGCTAGAAGCACATTGAAAATCCCGGACACCAACATTAAAGTTGAACTCTAAGACGACATGAAGAGGGGCGAGCCAACGAACCGAAGTTGAGTACGAAGGGAGAGGGGAAGGATCCAAGTCGAAAGGAGGGGCATAAGAAATTTCACGAGCTTGAAACAAAAATGGACTAGCTAAAGAACAGGCATGTGGTCGGGCATATTCAAAAACAACTTTATTTAGATCTTTCCATATCATCCATAGTAAGAAAACACATTGTGGAATATAGTATGGGAGTACTCGAAGAGTAAAACGTTTCGCCAAGCTAAAATTAATAGTTGGGCCGAAATATAGAAAAACGGTTAAACCCATTGGAGACCATAGTTGAATGGCTAAGTGCCATCTAAAGAACAAATGTTCAATACTTAATTGGTGTGTCTAACATACCAGACTTTGGATAAGGCAATTCACTCATGGAGTATTAAGGGCAACTACAGTTTCCAAGACCACTCTAAGACATTGCCACATAAAGGACTTCAGCTTTAGTGGAATTAGCATAACCAAGTTTTCTTCAAAATTGGAGGATCACTAATCAGAGCCAAATAATAACCAATTTTCACCTAGTAATAACAATTTCTGGCTTAATGCCAAACTAAATAATCTTTCTGTGGCAATGGTGGCGGCAGGATCGGAAAAAAACGAGAGACAAATTTGTTTTTTTTTTGTGGGTGGGTTGGGGGGGGGGGGGGGTTGGGCGTGGGACAAAGACGAGCACTATACTTCTCATAGAGAGGCCTAAAATGCCAAACATACACATATTTTAGGTTGGTCCTCGGAAAATTGTCACCAATTTTACTATATCTTACATTAATTTACACAAATGTAGAAGGAGGGACAAAATGAAGAAAATCAAGCCTTATAATTAACTCTTCAATAAAGTGAATAGTGTCATAATGTTTACTTATATAAAATGGAACTTTAGCAATAAATGAAAATCCATCAACGAAATTCAAAATTGAAAAACGTAAAATCTAAGTTAAAATCTTAGGCCAAGTTGTTGTTGGGATTCAGAGGTTTGAAGCAAAGTCTAGGAATAATGCGGGGCAGAATTGTGGTAATGTGGAGCTGGGGAAAGGTAAATCCCAATTTCAAATGGATGCTCATCGGAATGGTAAGAATGGCCCTACTGGGGTTGTGTATGATGATATTCTGCAGAGGAGATCAGAAGGGAAGTCTTATTTATTGGTTTGATGCAGGAGCCTGTGTCGGATTGTTTTACTGGAAAATTTTATATAAATTATTGAGACATTGTTAGTTCCTCGGTGGTTGAAGCGATTCAAATCTTTTTTTTCGTCGGTGGGCGTTTGCTCAATAGCTTTAATCACACATGGTTAACATTAGTTCCAAAAGTGGAGTCGGTGTCATCAATAAAACAAATTCGCTCTATTAATTTGTGCCAAATGGTGGTAACGATCACTTCCAAAATTCTTGTTGAAAGAATGGCAAAACTTCTGCCTCGTATTATCTCCAGGAGCATAATGGTTTTGTCAGGGATCGCTAGATTGTGGATAATGTGTTTATTGGCCATGAGATGATGCACTATTTTAAGACTAAGAAGCGGGGCAGGAAAGATTATATTGCTCTAAAGGTTGATATAAAAAAGCCTATAATCGGGCTGAATGGCTTTTTCTGTTCACCGTCTTAGAGAAGTTGGGTTTTCGTGCATTATGAATTGATGGGATAAAGGAAATGGTGACATAACTTCTTTCTCGATCTTAATGAATGGAAGGCCTTATGGATATTTTTGGGCAGCACATGGTCTGCGACAGGGTGACCCCCTATCTCCGCCATTGTTTGCCATTTGTACGGAAGGATTTCCGGCCTTACTGCGACAATCTATTGCGGCAAGGAGATTGTCAGGGATTAAAGTGAGTATGCAGTACCCGCGCATTTTGCATCTGTTCGCTGCAGATGATTCATATTTATTTATGAAAGGGTCGACTCAACACTAAGAGAATTTGATGGGGGTACTACATGAATACCAGATCTTAAGTGGCTAGAAAATGAATTTAGAGAAGTCAGTTGTTTGTTTCAGTAAGAATGTTCTGACTGAGGAAAGGCAGCAGATGGCCCTTATCTTAGGGGTTGGGGCGGTTAGTGTTTATGATAAGTATCTTGGGCTTCCAACATTGGTTCACAGATCAAAGACATAGACATTCCGATTTGTTCAGGAAAGGCTCCTGGCACAGCTACAAGGGTGGAAGCAGCGCCACCTTTCATGGGCTGCTAAGGAGACTTGCTTCTACTCTTCCAATTTATGTGATGGCATGTGTTATTTTCCCTTTGGCGGTGTGCAGAAAACTTGATAAGCATATGGCTAGATTTTGATGGGGCTCCGACACAGGTAAAACCTACATGAGTGTTCTTGCGAAACCTGTGTCGGAGTAAACATGATGGTGGTCTTGGATTTAGGATCTTTGAATTGATGAATAAGGCTCTTCTCGCGAATATAGGTTGGCATCTACATACTTAGTCGGGCTCGTTGTTGGCGAAGGTTCTCAAAGGAAAGTACTATCCTAAGACAGATTTTTTTAGTGCTACGGCGAGGTTCTGGCCTTCTTGGGGGTGGCAGGATATTTTGGAGGATAGACATTTACTAGTGCAAGGATTGAGATGGCAAGTGCGAAGTAGGACTGATGCGAGGATATGTGAGGATTTTTAGGTCCAGTTCTGCAGTGGCAGCCGCTCCTTCCTTTGCCATAAGCTCTGGTTGTTCATAATCAAATGGTGGAAAGTTTGATAGATGGAGAATCGGGCGAGTGGTGTTAGGAGTGTTTACAGGCCTGTTTCCTGGCAAACAAGATAGGTGGAGGTTTCTTGGTTTGATTATGCGTTCCGGAAGAGGGTTTGGGGCTTTGATATCCCGCCGAAGCTGCGATTCTTTGTGTGGTAGTTTCTTTGACGAATTCTGCCTACGATGTGTACACTACAATCTGCGGTGCTCGGCTTGTTGGGCTGATATGAAATCCATAGAGCATTTGTTTCTGCATTGTCCAATCGCCATGGACCTTTGACGACAGTCGGTGTTGATGGCTTTGCGACATGGATTGTTAGAAGTGAATGTACTTGTTTCTCCAAAGCTACGATTGTAAGGGATGGGTTGGTAGCGGAGTTCTATGGTTGGTTTCGTTGTTATGTCGTATTTGGAAGTATAGGAACTGGGTAGTGTTTGACCATTTCCAGTACCATAGTTCACTATTGATGCATCAATATCATAGTTAAGTGGCAGAATGGGAGGGATTTGGTCTGGTAATGTTCTGCTAGATTTTGTAGGGGTTGGAGTGGGCAGGAATGGGGTTGGGGGAGCTAGTTTGCCTTCCAATGGATTGACTTATAAAAAAAAGGCAATTCTTTCTCTCTCACGATTGGCTTATAACCAAGGCTGCCAACCCGTGGGTTGACCCGGACCCGATCGATCTAGTGGGTCAAGGGTTAATGGGTCATCCGTTTTAGCTCGGTTTAGCCCAAAAATATGAAAAAGTCATTATATTGTACTTATTTTGAATCAAACATAAAAAAAAACAACCGTATTTAAATTCCAACACACTTAAATAACATCAACATAAATTCATCATAGTAAAAATTCAACGACAGTTTGGAACAAGCAGCCCGCTGACCCGCTTGGAAAGGCCAACCGTCCAGGTTGGACTGGATTTTTTCAAGTTTGACCATTTCCGCACTAACTCTCAAATGAGCTATTTTAACCCGTTTTCAAGGCCGGATCCGGGTCGACCCGCGGGTTGACAACCTTGCTTATAACCTTCCAATGGATAGCACCCACTCTAGCATGTACACTCAGGCTATCATTGCAGAAAGGCACCCAATTGGCTCCACCGCCGGAGGAATCTGACGACGAAGTAGAAGCTCAAAGATCGCTGCAGCTAATGCCGATAGCTACCATGCAAAGAAGAAGTCGAGGACAACTTCGTTGCCACAAGCGAAGTAGAAGCAAGAGCGGGAGAAGAGGATGAGTAAGGGACCAAAGAGACGTTCCTGGCCCTAGAAGGTAACAAAGACCAAAATACAACGTGCAGGCATAGATCGTCCACGAAGAGAACCGTCATTTCAATTGGTCGCACAAAGACAAACGAGCAGTCGCAAACAGCAAACTGTCAGGAAACACAAACGTTGTTTTCTCAATCAAAAGCAACAATTGTATGATGGTTGTTAGTATCACGATACCTGGCCGGTAAGCTGAATCTCAGTCTATAACAGGTGCCCGTTCCTGCACGGAAAGAACTGTACCTCAAAGGGTTCGTTTCCAACAATCTCGATCCCCTTTCAATCTCTTCACTCGCATCTCCCAGTTCAAGTGCGCCCTCGAGGATCAAAGGGTTATCAACCCCAAATTAATGCTCATTGGATGGAACAAAGCATAATCGATTCAGAAAAGTCCAAAAATCATTCAGCTAAGTGCAACCCTCTAAGTAAATAAAATCCTGAACAGACTTTAATTCCAGGAACAGAATCCGTGCCAACATCTACAATCATCTGTTCTTTCATGGTACAAATCTGGTTGTGTTAGTGGAAAAAGGAGCCAGATAAAAGATATAACTCCGGCTGCAAATACCAAAGCCACCATCCCTCCTGAAACAATACGATGTTAGCTATAAGAAAACATCAGCTGGATTCAGAGTAAATCCACACATCGGGTTGAAGTTATGTACCTTTCTTCCTTGCAAAAAACACTGGCAACCCCATGAAATTGCAAAACACATGGGCAAGTAACGGGCTAACAAGGTGTCCTGCCGGGATGCATCAGAATAGATCATTAGGAGAAGAAAGTTATCTGAGAAATAAATACATCATTCGGAAGTCTATTAAGGCGAGAAAATTTCACCTGTTCGAATGAATAGGAATGAGGCGTAGGAACCAAAAATCACAGTGTAGCTGAGTTGGAGACCTAGCAAATAAACAAGTTTGCATTTTGTCATCAGGTGGAAGTGTCTGGTTAATCATCTTTTTTCCCAATTAACGTGCCCAAAAAACTGAAGGATAATTGCAAGAATGAGAAAACCAGGCCTTACTCCATACCCGATAATCTAGTAATAGATATCACATGACACGTCATCTAAACTTAATTCGGATTGAGAGGCTTATTTACCTACAACCATGGATGCTTTAATCACACTGTAGTTCTGCTGGCAGTAAATCTCCATCCAATGGTTCAAATGTGCTGCAAAATATGGCGATGAAAGAGACACTTTACTTAAGCATGAAATCCAAATAATATTCTACTTCGAACTTCAGACAAACCAAATGAAGCAATAACCAAATCATCAATGTAGAGCAGTACTAAAGACTTGAACAATTGAACTTACCCAAGCTGAAAAGAATAGGGCACAGGCCAATGACAATGTAGGGCTCGAATCCTCCACATAGGAGTAAAGGAATCATACATGCTCTAAACACCAATTCCTCAGTCACTGGCGCCTGTACACCAAGAAGTTCAACCGAACCGATTACTATGGAAATCAAGTACTGTCCATTCCATCAACTAAATACTGCATATCTAGCATCCAAGTAAAGAAAAATGGGGAGTTTGTTCCTCAATAATCCAAAATTTCGACGCATTTAACCAACTGCAAGAATTACATAGCTAACAAACTGACCACAATCAAATTACGCCAAGCCAAGATATTAGAGACGGCTGAAGAGACCCAAGAACCAAAGTTTTGCAGTAGATCTCGAGCAAAATCAAGCACACCTCCACCTCGATCCATATGTTCCTTCATTGCTTCCACCACCAACAAAAGCTTAAGGACCATTGATCCCGCGTACATTAAGGAAGTCAAGCAAAGAGGGTAGACAACAGCTTGCCACTGTTACACAAAATAAAATAGTTTCGGCAAGAATAGTTTAGCAATCTGTCGTCCTTATGACTCTGCAAAACCATAGCTCATCCGCAGCATATTCACTATACACTGAAGTAAATACTCACAACATGATCCATTCGAACTCCATAGATGCCTAAAAGAGAAGGTATCTCCTTGATGTTCACCTACCATTCCATAGAAAGGGTAGATAAGGTCAACCAAACATTATTACGAAAAGCACTAACTGTTAACTGTAATCTTCTATCGATTGGAAACAAAACAGCGACAGTCCTCAATCAAGCATTTAGCAATACTCAAAGATGAAGAAAACAATTTACTGCGGCAAGAATTGATTCAATGTAATCTTAATCGTAAGAGCGCACACTAAATCACAGTAATGCAACCACAAGATCAATATAATTGCAGTCTAGGTAAGGTGAGGAACTGGAACTCACTGACCGGCAGAATAAGAGCACAGGCAGCAACAGAGACCACGGAAGCGATGGCGGCGCAGACGAATCGGCGGAGCAGGAACTCCTTGAATGAGGAAGGTTGAGGGAGGCGGAGGATCAGAGTGGGAGTGTATAGAATCCCGACGTATAACAAGGCCATGGCGGTGCAGGATAACACCGCCGTCGATTTCGACAGACCTGCTTCTTCTCTTGCTTCCATGGTTTGTACCTAGGTCGCTGGAGGACTAAGCAAACGGGGATTTAATCGAAATGGCTCTGTCAAGCTCCGGGCCAAGCAGTGGATCAATCTCGATTAAATTGGGTAGCTGGAGCATCGACTTGGAAGGAAATTTTGTAGATGAGACGAGTTGCACAAAGGACGCAATTCTCACACTGAATCACAGAGGGTTGCAGAACAGAAGAGAAGGGGGGAAAAGCTGTTTATTACACATTCTATTCAACCAATCATCTGAAACGAATAATTAGGAACTCATCTTTGCCAAAGTACGAAGCTTGGGAAGAAAAGTTGAAGATAATTACCGCCGGTTAGCTGAGCACTCTCTCTCTCTCTCTCTCTCTCTCTCTCTCTCTCTTTCTCTCTCTCTCTCTCCATCTCTGCAACTGCTGGCTTAGTGGCTGACTGGCAGGGCTGAAAAACTGACCATGAAAACCCTTTGACCCGTCCGACTCTAAGGGTCGAGTCGGGTCAATTTATCTATAGGATTAAATAAGAGTTGGGTCGGGTCACCTCCGTGATACTCAAAGGAGCGGGTCAAAACCCACCATGAACCTAAAAGGCCATGTTATCCTGCGACCCGACTGAACCTGCGTGAAATTTGACGAAAAAAAAAAAACAAAAGCTCAATGTCACACTCTAGACCTAAAAATCTTTTCGATTGAAATTCTTCACCCTAGAATCTCGACCATCTCTAGATCATCCTTGCACTCTGTGGTCAAGTCTTGCTCCAAGCTCAAAACAATACAAACACTTTATCGTAGACAACATTTATCGGCATAATCCTTCATCCCTTTGAGAACATATTGAGCAACGGAGGCACAATCGATGACTTGCATTCTTTGAGTCCGGTCTTTCTCCTCGTTTGACTTGCATTTGCCGAACTCATCGCTTTCCTTCTCCGATTCCACTTAGGGGTGGCTATACGGTCCGGTCCGGTTAAATTGGCCCAAATTGATCCGGTCCAGTCCGGTTTTTTTGAAAATATAAGGACCGAAGATTGGATTGGATACAGTCCGGTCTTGATCCGGTCCGGTCTTGACCCGGTCCGGTCCCAATTCGGTCTTGATTTTATATTGAGATTGTGGGAATTTGAGTGGCCTAAGGCCTAAAAGGGTGAGGAGTTGGTTAAGTTTTGTACTAAGTGCAAAGGTTTGTGACCGTTTATGCAAATTACCCTTAAGTTTTGGGTGTTGAGCTCTCTTATCCGGTCTTTATCCGGTTTTTTACCTCAAATCTAAGCCCAAAGATTGGATTGGATTGTTTACTATCCGGTCCCGGTACGGTCTCGGTCCGGGTTATACGGTCCGGTTTCCGGTTTTTCATCCGGTCCCGGTCCAAATAGCCAGCCCTAATTCCACTAGCTCGCCGCCTCTTTGACACCGCCTGAATCATCATCGGTTAGCCATTCCAATTTCTTATGGCAATCGGAAAGAAGAGAAGAGAAGAAAATGTAAAGATTGAACCACAAAGAGGATTAAGGAAGAAAGAAAGAGAAAGGGAAAACTAGGGTGAGTAAACGGTTGTCGGGTATTCGGTAAACCTCTTAATCGAACCGAAAAATGTTGGTTAGTTGATTAACCGATAATCATTATTGAGGATCGGTTGTAGGTGTCGGTTGGATGAATGGAGCATGTCGGGTAATTGGGCGGTTATATGTCAATAACCAATAATGAGTAGGTGCACCGCAAAGTAACCGCACTAGTAGCACGCCTCTCATTTTCCCCTAATCGTAGTCCCTCTATTGACAAACGACAAATAAAAGAACCATCATTGCCCGCTAACCCCCGTCGCCCCGTCATCCTCGTTCCTCCACTCTCCTCAAAATCTCGCACCTACACTCTCTCAATCGCCAGTCGCGAGTCTCTAGATCTCCTTTATCCCAACTCAGCATCGCCTCATCCCGACCCCCTCGCATTTTCCCTACTAAAAAATAAAACCCTAAATCGATAAATTCCAAATAAAATCCCCAATGCCCCGATTCGATACCACCACACCTTCCTTTCTTTGTCGCCGACCTCAAGAGTCGCGATCACACAACATCCTCCAGCTACCTCTAGGTTCACCATCCATTCTCCATCCATCCTCCAGGAGGAAAAGGCGGAGGTAGTGGGTTGGAAGATTGAAGTAGTGGCACCTAGGGGTGGGCATACGGTTCGGTAAAATCGAACATAACCGAATCGAACATAAACCGAACCGAAACCGAATTAATGTTGTTTGGTTCAAAATTCGAAAGAGAAAATGACATGTTTCGGAAACCAGGGTCCTTTCGACCGAATCGAATTTCCGAATTCTGAACCGAAAAATAGAATTATTATAATTGCAAGCTCCAAATGGTGGATTTTTATATTTTTACTTATTATGAGACTTAAAGATTTGAATCATGTTAGTGTTTTATGACTTATGTGTTGAAATGTTTGATTTTATCATTGATGATGCATATTTATTATTTATATTAGGGGTGAAAAATAATTTAAAAGAGAGAAGATACAAGCTAACCTCACAAATTCGGTATTGTATGAAAAACCGAACCGAACAGAATTATAATTCGGTTTGAATCGACCGAACCGAATTATAATTCGGTTCGAATTCGGTTTGAGGTTTGATAGAATTATGGGACGCGGTATGCATAATTTTTGTTCGGTTTGAACCGACCGAATGCACACCGCTAGTGGCACCGACTAAGAAGCGGATAAAAGCCATTGTGCCAATCAGAGCTAGAAATCTGGTTATATCCAACACCTCATCCATGCACGTTCATCATCGATAGAGAAGAAGTGGTGGATAAAGATTAGACCTTCGATAGTAGATTGGATACAAACTACATATAATATTTGAAGACACATATCAAATACACATATAGTGTATTACTTGTGAATATCAAATACATACAAACAACTAGTAATTTGAAATTTTTCATAGCAACAATTAGGACCCATTTGTAAAATTCTAAAAGCTTAGATAATATAATGTGAGGATAAAATATAAAGGTAATAAAACTTAATTTTAACACAAATTTCTCCACATGTTTGTGCAAAAAAATTAGGTACTAAATTGCAAGAAAAAATGGATGCTAAATGTCATTTTCCAATAATGGTCGTGTGTGGCAAAAAAGCTCAAGGTTGAAAATATAATCTTAAGATATAAAATGCCAGAAAGTTGCAATTGGATAATCACCTACCTTCTATTTTTTTTTAGTTTCCTCTCTTTTGTGTTTCTCTCTAGGGACAATGACTACCTTCTCTTCCTCGATGGCGGCCGCCGCTAATGGGGTCTTTCCGGACACTGGTGATGGTAGGACGTGAGCAAATCTTTTTGAAGCTTCGGAGGTTAACAGGCTTGAGTATTATGAGCCGGAGCTCATCAATAGATCCATTTGTATTTCCAAATCTGTTATTGACGAGGGAGCGAAGCGATTAGAGGATAGTTTGGTTGGGCATTTTCTGATGGCTCCACCGTCTATGGCAATGATACGCTTCTAGGCAAACTATGGTGAGGTGAAAATTTCTTGGTTTGAAGACCGATTAGTTCTATTTCAGTTTCCTTTAGAGGAGGCATTTCGATGGGTATTTGAAGGAGGATAATGTCATTATCGTTATAGCATGTTATGCCGTTGGGTTCCAGAGATCCAAGCCCTGAATATCGATAATTCAGCCATACCAGCATGGATTAACCTCACAGGATGCCAACAAAGTTATCCTCTTTGTATGGATCAACCAAAGAAGCAGTGTGCAAGAGTGTGTTCTGCCAACATCTGTGTGGAGATAAGTGTGAAGTCACAGTTAATAGATAAAATCAGCATCACTCCTCATAGAATGCATGAGATGTTCATTTCAACCGAATACTTTCATTTTTCGGCTAAATGTGAATCTTGTGATATATTTGGTCATTAGTGTACTATACCACAAAGTGCCAGAACTCGGAGGATATGGCGTAAAAAGTAGATAAATTTTTTTTAACTTGCTAGCAACTCTAAGACTGTGAAGGTGGCTGAGGATCTAAGTGACCTTGAGATTAGCCAGAGTGATTTTGAGATTGAAGTGTTGAAAATGATGGTTATTTAGAGTTTAGTTAGCTTACTCTAAATAACCATTATTTACGTAAATTGCATATACTAGTGTTCTATGTAACCCCTCCACCTATATATATGTTTGTAGCTTGCATGTGTTTCTTAATTAAGCTAAATAAGATTGACTCTAGAGAGTTCTATCTCTCCCGTGGACTAGTCCTAATCATCAAGGATACCACGTAGAATCCGGTGTTCTTTTTCCCCCGCTATTGTTATCATGGTATCAGATCCTCTCCTATGAGGATTTTGGCTGCTTTGATCGGGTCTTGGTCTTCTCGACTACTTCAGTTGTTTGTCTGCTTCTTTTGTTCTTTGTGCCAATGGCGGATTTGTTTGTTCCTTGGTTTTGTGGACTGATCCAAGTGATTTCGACTACTTTTACTCGACTGCTCTAGGGTTTTATTATGTGGCTAGTTCCAACAATGTTGTGGGGTTCTTGTTGATCATTGTTTTGGTTGTCTGTTTCTCCGACTCTCATCGTTTTGGCTATTTGTTTCTCGGTCTCCTTTGCTTTCTTTGTTTGCTCGGTGTCTCCCATGAATTCCCCCAAACTTGATGCGTTGTTGAGCCGTTTTGACGACAAGAATTTCCCATTGTGGGAATTCCAATCCCGCACCTTTATTCAAGGTAAACAACTACTTCCATTGTTTCTAGGTATGCGTCCCCAACCAGCCAAATATGAGGAGAAGGCGTGTGCAGACTGCGAGGTCGAGAATGCCCATGTCATTACTTGGCTTCTTGCTTGTGCCAACATTCCTACTAACCTTAGTTTGCATCGTTTCTCTACAAGGAGTGAGATGTGGAAGCATCTTACGACTACGTACAGTCAGACTAGTGCTTCATATAAGTTTGACTTGGAATCGGCTCTCTCATCGCTGGCATTAGGTGATATGGATGTTCGCTCTTATTATCAAGCTACAATGCACTTATGGACGGAGATTGATCTTCTTTCGGCCACTCTGATTGCTTCTCCTCTCACAACTGACATGGTTGCGGAACGCATCCGCTCGCCTGTGCATTTTCTTATGAAGCTTTGACCGAAGTTTAAGCCCATACTGGCATCTCTATTGCACCGTAACATCACTGGGTTATAGGAAATCTTGACAAAACTCTATCGCGAGGAGACCGGTCTCAAAAGTCAAGCTCAGATTGACTCGTCTTCCTCCAGCTCTCTCGACAACTTTGCTGTGTTTGCTGTCACTTCCCATCATCCCCAATGTCATGCCCCGAATGAAAATTCTACTTATGTTGCTCCCTCATCCGCTCCCCGCATTTGCCATTACTATCGTGAGCCTGGCCATATCCAATCATTTAGCAAGAAAAGGAACTAAGTGATTGTCTCTTAACGTCCTCCTCGTAGCGCTTGTCCACGTCCGCG